CTTAGCAGCGTGTGTCTGAGTCGAGCCATTGTTTTATTTTATTCTTATGTGGCCGTTAGCACATGTTGTTTTAACAGACAGCAACATTGAACAATAGAGCCAAGTCAACAGACGTCGGCACGGTCCTTGAAATCAGGTTTCCCGCCGCCGTGCGTTTGAAAAAGACGCCGCGCCGTGGCTCATTCAAATTCGCTAGATTTTTTCCATGTCTTTACCCACGATTTTTGACCGTCAATGTTGACGGTAAGGACTAAAATTTTTACCGTCAGACGGGACAAATTACCGTCAATTAACGGTAAAACGGGCGCTGGCTAAAGCCCTGGTCTGTCCTAACTTGGCATGATTTTGTAGGTTTGCTGTCTTCAGAAGTTGGACAGGTGAATTTCAGCTTTATTTTATTTGGTAAAAATGTGGTTGTGTGTATTTTTCTGTCTGACATGAGGAGTTCTGTATTGAATACAGTACAGTCAATGTATCTTGAATCAGATGTTCTTATGTATGTGGGACTTGTGGGGCTTATTAGCAAATGTCGTATGTTTCTGGGCATGAGTTGCTGCTATGATCAAATACAATATCCTTTGTCAAATTTGTTTTAGACCAAACGTTAACGATAAATGAATGTATCGAACTTTAATTTGCATGGAAATAACATTTCTATGCAATGACTGTTTATTGACTAGCAAATTCAGTGGCAACAAACATGGTGTAGTTATAATGCATGATAAGATCAGTAAAGAATTCCATGCAAATTTATGGCACGCCCCTGTTAGTTCAATACCCTCCAGCTTAGTTCTGTATATTTTGTTGAAAGCACAGACGGTGCATGCAGCACGTTTTGCAGTAGATGTGCTTCAGCTGATGCATTTGTTAAGTTAATGTCAAGCAAACTTTACTCTGATGGCAGATATAATTGTTTGTCTTTGTATGTTTCTGTTTAGTAATTGTTGTTGTTCCTCCAGGCACAGTGAAGATCGGAGGCACTCCTGGACTGGCAGAAGTCAGCGACGAACATCAGGAAGCCTGAACGTTTGTGAAACAGCGTAGACACTGACAGGGTATATTGAGTTGAAAGTAGGAATAGTCTGACTTAATGTTGACTTTGTGAAGGTTTTGTTTATGGGAAATTTTGTTGTAATGTTGGATGATTGTTAAACCGACAGTCACTGTTTCTCGTATACCTCATAATTTTTGTATGACACCTAAATGATTAGTGTCCGATTAATATATTGCTCGCATGGTTGTGTCAAAAGTTATACTGTATAACCATAAAGATTGTATCATTTCGTGACATGTCATTGCGCTTGTTTTTTGTACACTATTGATAGTATTGTGTAACTGGATGTATTACTGATCTATACTGATGTAAACATTGCACGCTGAAATTGTATGTATCTGATGTATTGTATTGCAGATGTTTTATGAATGTATCTGAAGAGAAGAAAAAGAAAAGAAAAAGTAAATGGACTAGGCTGGTACATAATAAGTTATATGTTCACAGGAATGGGTATAAGTGAAGAAGCCATTTTGTCCTGTTATATGAAAGTACATTTTGAAGAAAGGAAGTTGAAAGAAGAATTTTGGACATTCCTGTGAACATTACTTAGTACCAGCGTAGTTCATGTTGAAGTTTGTGTGTGTTTCTTTATTCAACTTCTCTTTAGAGTCAATTTCACATTACTATGTCCTAAGGGATTTTGAATGTTAAGAACTTTTTTTGGCTATTGAAAAATTGTGACTAGTTTTGTGGAATTGACTTTTACTTGAAGTCTTTACTTTCTATTTACTGCCTCTTATTTCTCAGTGTGCACTTAGAGTTAGAATGAAAGGCATAAATGGACTAAGCTGGTACAACATTGCTGTTTACAGGAATGGGTAGAAGCAAAAGTTATTGTGTATATATATATATATATATATATATATGGAAGTTGACAGAAGTTTGTCCATTCCTATCCTGTAAACATTAGTACCAGCGTAGTTCATGTTAGTGATGTGCCTAATTGAAGTTTATTTCTTTCCCCTTTCTTTCATTTCCTCCCCCTCTCCCTCTATGTAAGCAGTTTATTTGTGATCTTCCTTTATAAAATTTTGTTACCTCTTTTCTCTTTCCCTCCTTTATGTTTCCCAGTTTCCTTGTGATTGTTGATTGAATTTTGTTACCCCTTATTATTTTGCTGTGCTTTTTTCATTGTCTCTGCCTTTCTCTTGTCCCTGTGTTCTTCCTCCCCTCCCCCACCCTTTTGTCTCCTGCCTTTCTCTGTCCATTTGCCCACTCCTCTGGTGGTGGCGGCGGCCCAACTAATTTGTGGGTGGCTGCATAACCTATTGTTGTGTAAAAACATCCCTCTGTGTCGTATTATAAGTATGTCGTATAATTACTGCTCTGTGGGTAGCTGATGGGATTGTGGCGAAGTGTACAATAATAATGTTTCTGTGTACAATAAAATATAAGTATTTTTTGTCAAAATTCACATGTATATTTTACGAGAATAAAGTTGAAAGTATTTCAGAAAACTGGTCAACACGAGTCATGTCCTGTAGCGTTTGTTTTATTCCAACCAAGTAGCGCTGCAGTCAAGTTATACAATTGCAACTTTTAACAACAGTGCCATTTCAACAAACAAACTTTAAGGCTGTTGTGTTGGTTAAGTGAAACTGGAAAGGAGTTAAGGACAGTGACAACAAAGGCAGGAAGGGTAGAGATAAATAAAGAGTAGAGAGACGGAAGGAAAGATTGAAGGAAGACGGTAGAGAGGGGAAGGGAGGCAGGGTAGAGAGGGGAAGGGAGGCAGGGTATTGAATTGGCAGGCAGGGTAGAGAGAAGGCAAGAAGGAAGGCAGGAGGGTAGAGAGAAGGAAGGAAGGGTAGAGAGAAGGCAGGCAGGAAGGGTAGAGAGAATGCAGACAGGAAGAGAGAACGAAAGGATGGAAACAGGCTAGAGAAAAAGCGGAAGGCGTACAATAAGGAAGTGAGGAATGGGGAAGCAAAGAACTTAAAAGCAACTGCACAGCGAAAAAGTAGTAACAACAAAAAGCACGAAAGTCAGCAAGGAAGGGTGGAGAGAAAAAGCAAAGGCGAAGAAACAAAACTACAGATGAAGGAAGCAGACAAGTTAAGAAAAGGGGACGGAAGGAAAGCATATTACAGAAAAGTAAAGGACAGTCGTAAGGAAAGAACAGAAAAAAATGGAAAGCAAAGAACAGGAAAGCAAAACAAAACTAAGAAAGCAAGCAACCAAAGAATCAAAACTAAAGAATAGCAAAATGAAGGCAGAGAAGCAAATTAAAGGAAACAACAGGCCAGTGAAAAAGCAAAAGTAGAGAATGTGCAAGCAATGATAACTGGACAGGAAAGAATCAAAAGCAAGGAACTTTAAAGCAAAAGCAAAGAAGAGGAAAGCAAAGATCAAGTAAATTAGAGGAAAGGAAATAAACCAAAGAACAGGAAAGCAAATGAAATAAAATGGAAAGCACAAGCAGACAACAGGAAAGCAAAGAAGGGAAAGCAATTGAAAGATTAAGCAAATAGAAAGAACAGGTAAGCAAAGAAGAGAGAAGTAAAGAAGGGAAAAGCAACAAAGCAAAGAACACAGAAAAAGATATTAAGTCAACCTGGAAGAATAGAAAGATACAGCAAAGGGAAAGAGTAAGACGCCAACAACAACATGAACTATGCTGGTACTAAACTATGTTCAAAGGAAATTGTGAACAGTAGAAAATGTTTTGGAGTTTTAACATCTGAGGATTGTATACAAATTTCAAGTTGTTTTCCAACCATTCCTACAAACATGTTGTACCAGCATAGTCCATTTATAATCTTCTTATTTTTTTTGGTCATTTTTTCTGTGCATCAAAATACAATACAATACAATACTGTAACAATACAATACATGATACAAATTAAACAATCTAGAGTACCCTACGGTTACAGAAAGTTACAATTACAGAAAGTTACAGTTTCAGTCTACACGATTACAGTTGAGAATGGCTACGGACAATTACTTCTTACCATCTCGTGTACGGTTATACAATGACATGTCTTGGAACAATACACGAATTACATTGTACATGAAACGATTCTACCTCAACTTTGCATGCAGGCGGTATGTTCGTCAAACACTCGTTATTTACACGTTACTTCGGTAGCGATGAATTATGCGATCATATTAACGAGATGGGAAACGGTTAAAATCAATCATCCTACATCGCAACAAAATTTCACAAAAATACAAAATTCTGACAATCAACATTATGTGGCACCTCAATATACAGTACATTGCCCAAAAAATTTAGAGGCAATCTCTAAAAGGGGTCTACGGTACAGTTCTTTGTCCATCATAGTCGGTGATGAGCCTGACTTCCATACTTGTTGCGAGTCCCAGCGTGCCCTACGAGTCCAGTTCTTGCCACTTCCTTAAAGTACTATAGCCACCGCCTAGCTTGTAGCTGTACAGGGATAAAGAATTATAATTACTGAACGATTCTCGGCTACAGAAATGTAGAAACACCAACAATAATATCTGCTACAAATTGTACATTGGAGATGGTTCAGTTCAGAGGATTCCAATACCAGAAGAAATGGTTTATTATTATAAGTCGAAAAAAAGCACACTTCACTGTTGTTTCAATTTCATTCCAAAATTATCAAAAATTCCCCACAACACTTCTTACAACTGATTATCAGAGCATTAAAATTATTTCCAGAACATTTCACTGTACCTTTCAAACTGCCAAAAATTCTTCATTTTAACCCAATTAAAAGGAAGCTAGTAACTTCAATCTGTTTCAGGAGTCTGTTTTTTTCATGCAGAATGTATGTTAGAGAAGGAATAAGAGTGCAATTTAAGTGGAACTAAGTGTAAGTGCAGGTACAGACTGTGAATTCTGCATGAAACAACTTGACGTAATAATTAGTATCAGTATAGCCGGTATAACCGTTCTACGGTGTGACAAACCAGCTTTGCAGGAACGCGGCACAGCTGGCTATTTCACAACAGAGTTGTTTAAAGGTTTCAAGTGATGCCCTAACTGTGTGTACTTTTAATCATACCAGCTTTTGAATGCCTCAATCCTTGGTTAATACCAAAGATATCTGGAGACATGACAGTAACTTTCTTTTAAGTTTTTTTTTTTCTGAACTGAACTTTCTTTAAAACAAAAAATCGAACAATGTGGCTGCAATACAAAGCTACAAAACATTCTGTGACAAACTACATCAATTGAAAACACATTACTACGGCAACGCCAATTTACCGGTAATCTGTTACTTCTGACTTTTTTTCTTGCAACATATGAAGCAACAGGGCCAAAAAAGAATAGGAACAGGCCCAAGCAGGCACCCAAAATGCTATGATACTGATAGGAGACATGAATTCAACATACCGGGTTGGTCTGTCATTAAAACAATGAATTTCAAGCCATTTATCAAAGAAACAAACTGATAGATTTAAAAACTGTTATTTTATTTATTTACAGTAACTCTTTAGAGAAGGTTTTTTTTTCAACTGTTGGGGCCAAAATATGTCATTGAGCAGTTCGAACTTGATTCAGAGCATGAAATGTTTTTTTTAATCAGAAAAAAATGAAGCAAGCGGGTGAGTCCAACAAGCAATTGCTTAAATTGGTGCAGCCTAAATGTTGCCTAACATTGCTTTAAGCACCCAATTTACTCACACCAGGAGTTTACATTTCCATGTCACAGGATACAACAATAATGAACAATCAAGCAATACAACAAATAACCTTCCATGTATCAAATTCATTAATCTTCACAGCAGGCATTCAGAACTATAAGTAGAGACTTTAAGTTGATTGAAATTCTCAAGATAATTTTCGCCACAGCAAGTAAATTTTATGGATAACATCCTCCGCAGACTATAAATCTAATGCTTTAGGGCGAAAACAAAACAAAACAAGGCGGGCCGAAAAGAAAATTTCTATTTTCAAATTTCAAACATCATAAACCTTGTTAAACAAGATTTTTTTTAATTCAGCGGCAACATCACATAATATAAAATAATGAAATACAACACTGAAAGTACAAGTAAAGGACAAAAACAATCAGAGCCATGTCTTGTCTCCTCTTTGAACATTTATCTGTCATCCAAATTCCGGCATGGCATTAGAGACACATTTTCGGCATATTGTCTATGGTCAGAGGGCAACAAAATTTCTCCAAAATCATTAGAAAATCAATGCGCACGCTGATGTCATCCATAAAAATTACTTGCTGTGGCCCAACTTTTAAGTACAAAAATCACTGAAGATCAAATTTGTAACTTAACTTTTACACAAGACGTCTTCTCGAGAAAAAACCCTTCTGACTGCATCACCTGGTCTGGACAGGAGGCTGGAGTCAGCACACGCAGCTATGCCATATTGGACAGCTGTCTGCGACAAGAAGACATAAGGTATAAGGAATTTAGCATCGAGAGAAAAATGTCTACCAGGCACTGTTGAAACACAGCATGCAATTTGGACTTCTTATTCCGTCATTGCGAACAAATTTCAACGAAAATCAATCTTCCACTCTTTTGCACAAGCCATTAGCAATTTAGTGCCACAGTGCACAATCAAAAATATCAAACAAGCATTCAACGGTTGAAACTCGATGAACTTTCAAGAACAATCAGATCATGTAATCCTTACATGAAGAACTTAAAAGTTGACACGTCTTCCTATCTATCCAAAACAAAACAAAAATCCCTCATTGAAACTGATCATCCAAACAAAGCCAGTATTATTCAAAACTTAATACATTTCACCATGTGTAAGACACCGTACTTTCATGTAGAATGTACTATGTTAGAGGAAGAACGAGGGTGCAATGCCAAGATTTGTTAGTTAGTTCAGATACAGACTCAGTGAATTCTACATGAAAGAACTGGACAAGTTACCAGCTTGCTAATAATAAACATTGTTTCCTACAAAATGTTTGACAATGTATTCAATTTGATAGTCTCAAAAAACTAGCAAATGGTTTGTGGACAAAAATATATCAAAAACAACATTACTAAGTGTATGTTGCTTTAAGCAGGTTCACAAATCTACACACCAGAAGCATTAAATGGATGCTGACAGTATAAAGTATCTTAAACAACAGGCTTTTGGCCAACAATCAACTTTGAAAAGCAAACATCACAAGAAGATATAATCAGTACTTAACTTAGCTGCCCAGGAATAAACTCTCATCTGCTCATGTCTGGACAGAAGGCGGGAGTCAGCAATGATGTCATGTTGGACTGCTGCCTGCAACAAGACAAGAGAAGGTGTAAGAAAAAGCTGTAAAAAGTTCCAAGAATATCACCCCCCTCCTCTTAAACATGTTTACCAGATTCACAAATCTACACGTCAAGCACGGAATCTAGGCAGAGATTGATTCAGAAGGTGATTGTAGCCATCTTTACATAATTTCGCAATAGGGAATCAACTTGACAACCAAAACTTTAAACTAGATCATGTATCTGTACAGGAACAACTTAACTTCTTGACAAGAGACTCTTCACTCTTCTCTGAATCATTTGCCCCGGACAAGAGGCTGGGGTCAACACTGATGTTGTATCGAACAGCTTACCCTCAAAATTCACCATTATAATAATACATGGACAGAAAAAAATACTGTAAGTGTCATACAAAACATGTCAGCATCCAACTCCCTTCAACATCAGCAGGCAATTGAGATAAGAACAACTGAACTGTTACAATTAGAGACGTCTTCTCAGGAAGAAACTCTGAATTCTTCTCTGCATCACCTGGTTTGGGCAAAAAGTTATTAAGCTTTTAAACAAGATGTCTCCTGGGGGAAAAAAAGTCTCAGCATCACCAGTGGTTTGGGCAAGAACTTTACACACACACACTCGCAGAGAGATCACCAGTTTCTTCCAGGGAAGACATTTGTGTAAAAGTTAAGTTGTTGTTGTCCAGATCAGGTGATGCAGAGAAAAGAGCAGAGTTTTTTCCCTGAAAGACGTCTTGTGTAACAGTTAAGTTGTTGTTGTCCAGATCAGGTGATGCAGAGAAGAGTGCAGAGTTTCTTACTGAGAAGACGTGTTGTGTAACAGTTCAGTTGTTCCAATCCAGACAAGGTGATGTGTACCCTGGGAGCCAGACTAGGTATGGGCCATTAGCCGGTTCCCTTCGATAGCCAAAAGCAGTTCGCCAATCTAAACTCCGTTACGGAGGAGTTGAGCCCAAACTGCTGGCCAACTCCCCTGGGGCTCAACTCCCCGTAATGATAATTCAGATAGGCAGGCGTACTGCTTTCGGCTATCAAAGGGAACCAGCTAACAGCCCATGCCTAGTTTGACTCTAGGGGTACACATCACCTTGTCTGGATTGGAACAACTGAACTGTTACACAACACGTCTTCTCGGTAAGAAACTCTGCACTCTTCTCTGCATCACCTGGTCTGGACAACAACAACTTAACTGTTACACAAGACGTCTTTCAGGGAAAAACTCTGCTCTCTTCTCTGCATCACCTGGTCTAGACAACAACTTAACTCTTTAACACAAGACATCTTCTTGAGAAGAAACTCTCCACTCCCTGCATCACCTGGTCTGGACAAGAACAACTTAACTTTTACACAAGGTATCTTCTCGGAAAGAAGCTCCACTCTTGTCCGCATCACCTGGTTTTGACAAGAACAACTTAACTTTTACACAAGACGTCTTCTCGGGAACAAAAGTCTCCACTCTTCTCTGCATCACCTGGTTTTCACAAGAACTTGAGTTTTACAGTGTCTTCTCAGAAAGAAACTCTGTACTCTTGCATCAACAACTTATTTGTTACACAAGATGTCTTCTAGGGAAGAAAAGTCTCCACTCTCCGCATCACCTGGTCTGAACAACAACAACTTAACTGTTACACAAGATGACAAAAAGGCTAAAATTTACGTTCCAACACTAAATACATTGGGACTTACCCAAATTTTTGGCTCACTCTGTCAGCCTTGTCCATGGAATGGACCCGTCCACTGCAGCTTCCAGGACGTGACGTCAGAAACGCGATTGCAGCAGTCTGGACAGAAGGCTGGAGTCTGCAGCGATGCTGTGTCTGCAACAAGATGAGAAAGAAGGGTACAAGGAAATGCACTGAGAGAAAAATGTCTACTGGACAAAAAAAACAGCATGCGATTCTGTGTTGGTGCCAGTCTGAGGATAACTAAGTATAAGCTAAGAAGGGCATAACTAGTCACATTGCAAGTTTTCTGTCCTGAACAGTTGTCCTTCAAGAAGCACCGTAACATGCATGCAGAAAATTAGTTTTATACTAAATGTATTCAACATGCATTTGCCTTTCAATGTTTTTGACAATTGCAAGTACAATCATGTAACATGGTTCATGCACCACAATAAAGAGTAAATATGCAGTACACAAGCCAGAAATAACTATCATATATAGACGATCAAGAAATAGCTCTAAGACTTATATTAGACAAGTTAGAAGTAACTATTATTTTAGTATTAGACAAGCCAGAAATAACTATTGTATTAGACAAACCAGAAATAACTCTTATATTAGACAAGCCAGAAATAATTCTTACAATAACTCCCATTAACTTGACATTTCCACCCAATATTCGACAAATTGCAAGGAACAGAGTCACCATAATTTAACATTCCAACAGGTGGGGCAAACACCACGTGGCTACAAACAAAGAAATCCTTTTTCTTGCACAAATATCAACTTATATTTCAAGTTTTTTAGTCGAAACACGTACAAATACATGTAACGTGGTTCACACACACAACAAAGACTGCCTATTCAACAAGGCAGGGGAGAAATGAAGTCATATTAGCCCGCCCTCAACTCGAAATTTCCACCCAGTATTCGACGAATTACACGGTGAAATTACTAATAAACTTTACAGGCCATAGCTTGCCATGCCCTAGCTAGTCGTTGGGAAACCAAATAAAATCGTTGTTTTACCTTGTATGAACGAATATCCACATGCAGTTTCGCCATTTTGTCCTCTCTCCAAAATGCAAGGACGAGTTTTGCAACACCACGCCGACCGTTCGTCAATTTCGCCTACAGCTTCTCTCGACCCTGGAGTTGCACAGAAATAAACGATAACTTCTATTTCCAAAGCTATGAAAAACGCCCCTGAAATTCGCAATGCTAAACCCACAGCTTACTGTTCAACACTAAGTTGAAGCACTGCGGACCACGCCGCATTTTGGCGGGAAAACTAAACGATTTAATTAAGACCACGTGCGGAACATTCCAACAGGTGGGGCAAACACCACGTGGCGACAAACACAGAAATCTTTTCTTGCACAAATATCAACTATTTTTCATGTTTTTAACTAAATACATGTAACATGGTTCACACACACACAATCAAGAGTAAATATTCAAATAATAATATATTCAACAAGACAAGGCAGAAATGATTAGTGTATGATTAGTGCGCTCTCAACTCGAAATCCCCCCCCCAGTATTCGACGAATTACACGGTGAAATTACTAATAAACTTTACAGGCCATACAGTTTGCCATGCTCTAACGTTGGAAAGTTATTCCGAAGAAAAAGTCTTTATTTTACCTTGTATGAACGAGTCTCCGTGCGGCCAACTTCCAGTCTCGCCATTTTGTTCTCCCGTCCAAAATTCATCTGGTCAGAAAACCCGCTTTTTCTCCTCAGAACATCCAGAAAACGGCACGAATTCACCACAGAAACTTCCCCGCGGTTGCTGCACATATTAAAACTAGAAACTTCTGAAGAAATAACGTAAAATTCTCCAGAAAGTTGCAAAAAGAGTATCGGAAACCCCCACGCACGACGTGACAGCAACAGACTGAACTGAACTGGAGCGTACCAACTTTGGCTTTCAAACAGGGGTGCAAAACGGCCTAGTTTTTGGTTGTTTGTTTGTTTGTTTACTCCCAGCCACGCCGGACCGCCTCCATCTTATCAGGGGAAGAAACCCCCCATCAAAAATGACGACGCTCGCCCCACGTGTTTCGGACTTGGTGCCTGTGGGAAGCCCAGCGATTACATGCATAGCGCCTCACACAGCAAGTCTCTGGTGTTCAATGGTTACAATCCTCCCGCCCTACCGGTGGGCAATTTCTGTGGGGTTTGCGTACGCGCTGGTTTACAAACATACGTCGTGAAACAAACCTAATATATATCCCGGGATTCCCGTGTTCACGGCGTTTGTGGTTTTATTAGACACTCCACATTTCCTTCTCATAACCCAGGAAGAAAAGACTTCCATAAGCTGGTCACTTATAGTGCATAGTTAGAGAATGTCTACAAACTTCTTCCTTTGGTCCTATCTCGATAAGATTGAAATTTCACCAAATTTTCACCCCTATTTTCTTTGAAAGCAAAAATAAAAAATAAAGACCTCAAGACATGCATTGTGGGAATATGGCCAGCTCATTAATTACAAGCACTGTAATGTTAATTAGCTAATCGAGGGGACGCGTAACGTCATAGTGTTGGACGGAACCAAGAGGTCCCGGGTTCGAATCCTGCCATGCCACCAACCTTGTGCTCTTGGGAAACGCTCTTTACACGACTTTCCTCAGTTCACTCTTGGGGACGTTGGCACACTTTAGCGCTTTTGTCTTACATGCTTGTATTTATACATGTATATATATATCTAGTCTTACTTAGACTTAGGGGCTCCCGCGTCTCGTGACGCATGAGGCAGTCAAAGCAGCCCAGCTTCCTCTGTCAGCAGCCAGCCTCAAGGCTTCCTTCCAGCTCATGCTGACTGCCTGAAGGTCCCTCTCCACTGATCTAGTGGCGCTGGCAAATTAAGTTGCTCAACTTGAGTGCAGCGCCACTTTGTCTTGTAAATTAGATATCTGAAAAAAAAGTCCTAACCTTTCGTAAGGACCTGAACCTTCGTCTTTCTAAGATCTACCCACATACAATATATCATCACACAATGCATAGACGTCTTCTTAAGGGTCCTTAAGTCTACGGGAGACTGGCAACCGCGACAGTTGTGTAAATTTGTTGTCACAGCGGTGTGCAGCTTTAGAAGGCACACAGTTAACTTGGCGATGGCATGGAACATGCGCTGTTGCTAGGTAAACAAAGTTTGTGTGCTTGGATATGAGCACAATAAAGTACACCTCCTCTAGTCACATTCCGCCATTTTCATTTTCGACAGAGTTGTGTGGAGATCGGTCGCCAGTACCTGTACAGGAACAGCACATAGCAGGTAAGTTAGCTTAAATTCATCAACAAGAGGTTGAAGAAAGTGTACTATTTGCTTGCAGTCTTACTAGCATTCGATTATACATGTAAAGCCTTCACAATTTTGTCTTCTGGCCTTTTTTGCCTCAGTTTCCTGGTGATAAGCTAATTGTGGGGTCGTGCCACCTGATAAAGAAATCGCACGGAGCAAAAGGACTGTCATCCTTGTCTTGACCTGTCTAGGTTTTGTTTCCTTTTGGACTTCAAAAAATTGTATTCACGTATTCGCATATAAATCAGTAGTTCGTGCTTATAAACCCGCAATTCTCCTGTGGTCTCTTAGTGTCACTGACGAAAAATAGTGGATGCTCCATGAAACGTCTGACCGTTTCCAAAATCATATCCAGTTGCTTGAGTAACTGCTTTTTTTTGGCAAATCGCACGGAGCTTAGCAGCAAAAGGACACCCGATCCGGCTTGGCAGTCCCGCATTACAAGTCAAGAAGAGAAGTGGTTTATTGTTGCGCGACGGTGGCTTGTTATTAGATAATATTTAACTTTGTCAGGTGAACCATCGTGCCCTTGCCTTTGTTTTCACCCCAGCCTTACAAACATAATTTATATAGATTTAACCACAGTGACAGACAGTTTATTTTCGCAGGTGCGGTGTTCAGACCGACAATACAGCGGCACGTCCGTGCAAGCGTAGCACAGGTTTGCAGGCTTTATATCTATCAGTTTTTAGTTGCTATGCTTGTTCTTTTACTTTTCTTACGACGTTGAATCCTATGAAAGATGACCGTGTTTCAGAGAGTTTTGTGATCCTTTGGTCTAAACAAGTTTGTTCCTTTTTTTCTGTATAGTTATCTGAGGAAAGCCGCGCTTGTTTGGCTAAAAAGCTGGGTATGTGCACCCGATCCTGTCATGACAGGATCAGATCACAGGCTTTAGACGTGCCAAACGACCAATACAGGTGTGTAACGGACACGTCAGTAGGGTTCTTTCTAATCCTTTGAACGAACTGGTCTATCGTTTTTCTATCAAAGTATGACCCAAAACCAGGTGATTTGGGGACCATTTCCATATATAGCTATCCAAACCAACAAAAAGTGTGTATGAAGTAGCAAGGATTGTACTTTCCGTCTGCATATGATCATGACTTATTATGATATAACTAGCCCCCAAAATATCTTTTTCATATCAGAACGCGCTCGGTTCAATTTTTCAGAGAGCTCTTCTTACTTATCTAAGGATAATGTTTCTAAATTGTACGGCAACGTGGCCGTGTGGCTGTGACGCAGTTCGAAAAGAAAATCAAAATGGCGGCCGAGATTTCAGTCAGCGGTCAGTGACGAGTGTCCTAGATTTTAGATTATCTAAGTACTGAACAATCCCAGAACTTCATATCACCACGCATGACTTGGGTATAAAAACAAGGTCTGACCTCAGCAGCTTTTGAAAATTCGCTCCTGCGATTTAGAAAAAAAAGAACGAATTGTCGAATTACATATAAGGTCAGGTCTGATACCTAAAGGCACTTGCTGTTACGTCTTGTATTGCTGGATGCACAGTTAGTTTGAAATACTGCACATCATCAAAAATTGTTACTTAGTTACAATCCTTCATGATATTCTATATATTCGTAAATATAATTTTGTCGTTAACTCTCGAATAGGACGTGAAGCCGGAGGTCCCGTGTTTCAGGAGAGACACACACCTTATTAAGCACATCAAAGAACCCATCACACTTATCAAAAGAGTAGGCTTCATCCTGGTGTCAGTGGTTCAAACCTCACGATCACAGTCTGATCCTAAGCAGCTTGGACCTACAGAACAAAACCGGTGTGTTTGTTACACATGAAGGCAGTTTACTGGTTATGCAAAACAAACAAAGAAGCAAATAGACATGCGTTCATGGCCCGAAGTGGACAACAATTAGTTAGTGAACGATATAGACAGCTTTACGTTAGTTGTGTCAAACCTCTTAAATTGGAGTTTTGACAATATAGGTATTTGATCCTTCATCATGTCTGACATTGGTTTCCAAAGACATTTGACATTATAATCAAAATACTTCTTTCTGTTCTTTTTTGACACAGTTATTTGCATCGCTGACTAGATAAAGTAGTCCTTGCTTAACCCAGAGGTCGTGGAGCTGACCGGATCTGTAGTTTGTCATTCTCATTTTTCCAGGAAGGTACGTATAACATAAAAAAATGTCTTAACAATTGTTGGGCCATTTTAAATAATGATATATGCTTTCCAATGACATATGATACCAAGAATGGTAATGGTGATACACCTGTATGATCCTTTCCGAACAATTGTTCTAAAATACTAGTCTTTCACCATGTCCAATGTCTGATTATTCATTATGCGTAAGTTTGAATATCAATCTTATATCTTAGTCCTGGAATTTAACACTAAATGTATCCCTAAATTTCCTGCCAATGTCTTTAGAAGACCATGCCGTCATTCGAGGAAACTTGGGTACATCGCGTAGGAGATGTACACAAGGGAGACCAACTTGTGGTTAAAAGAGGAGACATCAAGCATCACATGATTGTAACTGAAGACCCCACAAATCTTAGAGAAGTACATGTGATCCATTATTACAACGATACTTGGCCTGGTGTAAGGGGAGTATGTGCATGTTGTGGTAAGTCAGTGGTTCCTATCGCTGAAGTTCGTGAAGACGTGGAGAATATTGCCTCAGACGTCAGTAAGGGAAGAGTGTACCGCATAGATTGGCATAACAAAACCTTCTCACCCGATGAAACCGTGCAGAGAGCTAAGAGCAGGCTTGGTGAAGGGAAATACTGTCCGTTTACAAACAACTGTGAGCATTTCGGCACCTGGTGTAAAACAGGCCGAGAGGAGAGCTTACAGAGTCAAGCAGTTTGCAAGGAAGGCGTGAAAGAAATTGCAAAATCTGCAGTAATTCGAGGGGCAAAGCAAGTAGCAATGGAGGGGGCTAAAACTGTCATGAAAGAAGGCGCAAAGCAAGTAGCAATGGAGGGGGCTAAAACTGTTGTGAAAGAAGGCGCAAAGCAAGTAGCAATGGAGGGGGCTAAAACTGTTGTGAAAGAAGGCGCAAAGCAAATAGCAATGGAGGGGGCTAAAACTGTTGTGAAAGAAGGCGCAAAGCAAGTAGCAATGAAGGGGGCTAAAACTGTTGTGAAAGAAGGCGCAAAATCAGTGGCGAGGGAATGGGTAAAGCAGGTAGCAAGGGAAGAGGGTAAAGCAGTCATGACAGAAGCAGGGCATGGCGTATTAATGCAAATGCTACCGGTACTTGATCCAAACTTCATGATGCGCCAGGTGTTTGCGAAAAGCCATGCTATGTTGGACCCGGCTTTGGTCGATGTTTTCCAACATACACTAGTGAAGGAGAGCTCGAAACAATTGGCAGAAGAGGGGGGTAAAACTGTCATGAAAGAAGGTGCAAAATCTGTGGCGAAGGAAGGCGCAAAGCAGGTAGCAAGCGAGGGGGGGAAAAATGTCGTGAAAGAAGGCGCCAAATCAGTAGCTAAAGAAGGGACAAAGCAGGTAGTAGGGGAGGGAGCTAAAACTGCCACAAAGACAGCAGCGAAAGAAAGTACTAAGACAACAGCGAAAGAAAGTGCTAAGACAGCAGCGAAAGAAAGTGCTAAGACAGCAGCGAAAGAAGGTACCAAAGCTGCTGCCAAGTCAGGAGGAAAATCTTTCGGTAAGAAAATAATTGAAAACCAGGGGAAAATCGGCATTGCGCTAACAGTGGCAGAGGAAAGCTATTACTTCTTGAGCCGCACTTCGGAATCTGTGGACAAATTGAAAAATGGCATGATTTCCGGAAGAGAGTTTGTGGCAGAGGTAGCTACCCATGCTGTTAAGGGTGTCGCTTCTGGTACCGCCACAGTTGTTGGAGCTACCTTAGGGCAAACATTGATTCCTATACCGGTTGTTGGTAGTGCGATTGGAGCGATGATTGGAAAGGGAGTTGTAGGGTTAGGTGGATGGCTCCTGGGTCTTTAGATTATCTAAAGACCCAGGAGCCAATCTGATTATACAGCCTTCGCTATACCTATAAAGAGGAGATAATCCATGCAGAGTTCAAATAAAAATCTTAGAGACTGCATATGTTAAAGAATAGTTATACATCTAATGTTGCCACTGACATATATTCTGTACCTGGTTTGCCGCATACATATATACTGTAAGTAGGATGACATTATCCATATGTGTTTATTGGCTGTATCAGATGGCTACATACAGTATACAATATGCTTTAGTTTGGAACATTACAAGCTGTATGTAATTCAGGACTGTACTATTTTGATTTGAAATGGCTGCAGTGTTGTATGTTTTAGTTTGGAATATTATATGCAGTGTCTAATTGAAGTGTAGTGTTACAAACATTCATCGGAATCTGATCATATGATGTAAGACAGCTGATATCCCGAATTTTCCTAATTCATAAATATGAATGTTATTTTTATTTGAGTGTTGCATCTATTAATTGCATGTATTAGTGTTGCTCACTTTGAATGAGAAGAATAGAAAGCTAATGTGTTTATCAAATATTGCATTTTGTGACTGAATAAACCCTTCATGATTGTGGGAAATCTGTTTGGTTTGCTTCACATTGGTTTGTTCCTTTGTACCAAATATATGCTTTTCACACAAACTTCATGGTGATTTTAGAAGGTCACAATTTTCATAGAATATATAAATTGTAATGAATAAAGAATACTGTGAGACGTTTAGCCCACAGAAGTAACTGCTTGGCTGGTTACGCGTTAGGCATCAGAAAGAATGTTTAACTCCAACAAATGTAAGATATGGGTCAATGCATTTTCATATCTTTTGATACCTTTCTTGTGATCCGCATTCCTCTCCCTTTCTTCTTGGATGAAGACGAACAGAACACAAAAGAAACGAAACTGAAAATACGCAACCACAGAACCGCAGATACACGCAGAAGACGCGGAGACAGCTGAGTTCTGTATCTGCTTGGAGATAAAATTCCCCAGCACATTAGTGAGGGCCTGCATGGGGGGTCCCGACAATGCTCTACGATGGATTTTGAGAGCTACGTATCACGCTGAATTCAGGAAGCCTCCACGTTACGTTTTACAATAAAATTCCGGGTAGCTACAACGCATTATGTAGAATCAAAACGGCAAATTACGCTCTACGAAAATGCGCCGTACGTTGAATTAGAGCAGTCCGTCTACGCTCTACGAAAAATTAAAACGGCCGATTACACTCTACGCAAAAGGGGCATGCAGGCCCCCATTAGTGGAAATGTACGGCATTCCGTGGGTGTTTGTAACTCCCGTCGTATATCATAGGTTCACAGAGCTCATACTTCCCGCCCCTCCACCACCTGTCCAGGTCTGTGTACACTTTTCTCTCTGTCGGAGACGCCTGGAGAAGTTTCTTACACACCTCACAATACCTGCCGTCCCAAGATGCGGGGAGGGTGTTGGGAGGGCGAGTTTTCCACGCAAAATACTGGTTATACTCCTCGTCGTTCTGGTCTAAATATTTCAGGTAGTTTGCTAATTCTTCAGGGGATTCAAAGTCGTCCACGTGAATGAAGGAGTTCGGAGGAGCGAATCTTTCGTAATCGCCTTTCGGCGCACCTAACACGATCGGGACGAAGTCGTTTCTTAAGGAGTTGTCCCAGAATTTTTCTGTGATGTATTCAACGCACTTAAAGTTTTCAAACGCTAGATAGAACTTGTACTGGCGTGTGTGCTCTATAACGCACTGTTTATCCTTCTTCTCGCAATGGCTAGAGTTCCCGCATCCACCGAAAATGTCCACTTGGATGTGTTTCCTCAACTCTGCCGCGTACGGAAAACGAGACAAGTGTTTATAACAGTTACTGACATACCACAGAACAAGCTTCGTTTTGCCTTTGGAATAATCTCTATTCGGATCAGGCGGGTTTTCGGCCAGTTCTTGATAAATCTGAGTAACATGACCCCACGTTGCTAGGATATCAGAATCATTTCTGTAAGTAAAAGTCCAGTTGAAGACACCCCCATAAGAAGCCAAGTCGACGTCCCTTGTAAGATGTGGGCATTCGTACGGCATGTATATCCAGTACTGATGCCCGTGCCGTACCGTCGGAAAGTACGTTCTGTTGTAGACAAGGGGGAAACCGTGAATGCCACGAAACAGGAGAGCGTCCGCGTTTGCCACCTGCCTCTGGTCCTTGGTGAAAACGCACCCCGGCATGGACGGACAGGGTTTCTTAGGTGGCCATTTTGGAGTCGAATTCCAAGCAACGATTATCGTCCTGTTGTTTGGTGACTTCCTTATTGTAGCTTCCTCGTTCCAGACGGAGTAGAACTTCGATGCCGGGTTGTCCGAGAGAGAAGACACGAAGTATTGGTACCTTGGAAGCGCCGAACGCTGTATAAGCGACGTGTTGTCGTGTCCATAGTGAAGAACTTTTCTTCTTTTTAAGTCGGTAACCACAGAAGGGTTCAAACCCACTGGATATGTCAATGTCTGTTGGTTCGCAGTATACAGAAGATACATACAAACGAAAACTATTAGAGATGAACCGACAGTTCTGAGCAGTACGAGTAGACTGTGCTTGCTGTGCTTTCTGTGCTCGCTTTTAGACAACATATTGACGAGCATTTCAGCCGCCATGGATGCGTCAATTTCCTCTCAACACGATCGACGAAGTCCCTCTGTAAGCATATCACCGTCGTGGCCCTGCAAAAAAAAAGACAACGAAAAAGAGTTATGTAAAGTAATCATCATTAATAACAACTGTTTTTGTTTGTTTTGGCTTATCATTATTAAGACAATTTTTTCAATCCCGCAGTACATTCTAATCTAATCCCACACTACACACTTTTGTATTAGGTAGATATTAGTCTTATGGAACTTAAATTAGTTACCACACTGCTCTAAGTTTGTGTTTGACACTGCCCTAGAAGAGAGAATTAAGCAGCGCCAATACATGTTGGTCACCTCTTTGTCTGTGACAAAGTCTTTGATGCCCAATAAAACGTCACATATACTTGAGTAGGTTGTGCTCATGCTCTTGATTTATCCAGGGCAAACTTATCGCCAGAAAGCACTTTTCATAGTATTCCTGGGGGTGGATGGGGGTATCCCTACAATTAAAACATTATAAGCAAAACAAAGAGAGAAGCATGTCGAACCGGTTTTACCGCGTCTATATTTAGTACCACAAAAATTCATTTGTCTGTCTAAGTTGTTGGCAAAACGGCCGGTCTAAATCCTTATCGGCGTTCGGTTCTGTCACAGTTGTGTGAAATCGTACAGCATTAAAATCGAGCGGCGATATACTACAACCTTTCTATAAGTGTCGCCGTCAAAATCAGCGCAATCTGCGTTAATCGGTTATACTTATAGGTGTCAACGGAATAAGTATATCGAAAACGTAGCTACATGAATTGACAGCCTCCGTAGCAGACTTATAGAACTGGGTTGGTGGTCTTCGCTGTTTCTGATT